AGGTAGGGTGTTTTTTTTTTTTTTTTCGTTTGCCAACAGAGAAACCAGGGGTTAGAACTAGGCAGGACAAGGAGACAAGATTTACCGTATTAAAGAATCTACAAGGGATAGTCATAGCATACAATAGATGTTATGAACTCAAACTTGAATAAACCAAAAGATTAAAGAAGAGTTATGGCATGTATAATGTAGAAGGACAGAACGATATATCTTGACCACCCAGAAATAGAACTGAAAGAGAGAGATGAGAGACATAAGAAAGTGTGGCTGACTACCTCTCTGATCTATCCTCATCGCTGTCATCCTCACTTGTAGGAGGTTCAATAACATCCTCAGCACCAGCATCTAAAGCAATGGCAAGGAGCTGGTCCTTGTCAGCATCTGTGACTTTTATATTGGCAACTCAAACACGTCTGAACTTGAACAAGACAGATCCAGGATCTGCCATTTTTGCTCCATAGTCCTTCACCACCTCCCTAACCACTGCCACAGACCGGGTTATTTTATCTGTTAAGACCTCAATTACCATGCTAACTCCACCAAAACCATATACCTGAAAGGATATATCATTAGTGTAATAAAAATATATAAAGAAAAAAGAGAGGCGAACTTTGATTGAATATAGAAGAGGGTGTAAATACCAACCTCATAAATTTTCTCAATGTAAGCCTCTTGTCCCTTCTCAGAAGCTCTCTTGATGTTTCGCTCCAAAATTTCCTTGGGTACATCAAGTTCCTTGGCCTTTTCAAGTACTGCAGCAAGAACTGTATTTGACATCGGATTTGGGCCACTTTTCTTCACACTGCATCATCCAATATAATCACAATTATTATCGTTTCAGCATTAAAACCAGAGGCAAGGCAAACAACTACAGAATCAATATATAATACAAACTGGTAAAAGTAAACCACACGAATAATGTTTGGGAATAGATGAAGTTCACCCAGCTACACAATTAAAAATTTCCTGCACTTCTTTTGGATTAAAACATTAGACTGTAAACTGATAAATTAGCGACTAACATACGCAGATACAACTTCCTTTCCAATCCTTGAATACAGTTTTGCCTTCTTTGCATCTTGAGCCCCCTGCATTTAATTAGAACATTATTACAAAAAAAAAAAAGGGAAAAAAAGAAAAAAGAAGACCCATTTTTCTCCGCCTTAAAAGATTCACAATTTAAGCAAACAATGACGACTATAGATCCACATTGGAGGTCCACATAAAAAAAAAAAGGAACTTTGACCATTTGAGATTAAACCAAACCTGTCTCGGGATTTTCATCAAACAGGTGGCATTCATGAAAAATTCAAAGTCAGGAAGCCATCACTCAAACATGTTGATGATTCACTGACTTAGAACAGCAAACCAGCAACATGAAACAGCGTATGAACACAAAAAACAAATAGAATTTGTCCAAAGAAACTAATTTCACCAATTGAAATACAAATCCTCTAAACCCATTAATTCTCGCAGCAAAACGAGCACCCTAGAAGACAAATGCATCATGTTCATAAGTTAGCAAATGCAAGCAACTGAGGAAGAAGTAAAAGGGACCTTTCTGCCAGCAATTTTGCTGGAGCGTCTGCCCATGCAAACAGGAGGGAAAGTGGATACATTTCGCCGCTGATCATTACTGAACTTAACTTGGTGCAGAGGAAATGATGAAGTCGATGATATCGACGCCACCATTGATAACGAACTTCTGCTCCTAGTAATGAAGGAACTCGCAGAAACCCCATTGGTGAACCTGTGGAGTATTGCACCAACTGCTCTTGCTGAAGAATACGATCCCATCTTTTCTTACGGCTTCCTCTCTACTTTTTCCGAGCGTTGGGTATGGTGGATACGGGTTTTCTGGCTTTTGCAGTGGAGTTGATTGACGTAAACAAATCTAGGAGACAAACGAAACGCAGGGATGACGATGACGTTCTCACTCCGGCGTGGCCTCCGGTGAGGAAGGGAGGAGACGGCTTCTTCTAAGTTGCTCCGTTCTGATAATCGGCCCATTGAGCCTAGGCCCAAAAATTAGACCTTGGGCCTTAAGCAGATTAGAAATATTTTTTAAAAACATATGAAAATTATTTACGTATATTAATTGGTGGAAGGAGAAAAATGTTTCATGGGAGTCAAACATATCACCCACATGACATGAATAGTCCTAACTTAGGGTTCATGCAACTGGACCGGAGTGGGTTATTTACAAATTAGAAATATTTGAAGTAATAATTTATCGAGTCTTCTATTTTACAGTTCTATTTTTATCGAGTTACAAAATATAAATTATTAAAAAAAAAAGGATGTGTCAAGAGCCCACCTTAATCCAATTATAAGTATTATGCAATGCTAATTCAAACGAGTGCAACACTTTTTCCTAACTTAATTATGATAACTTAAAATTAAAATTTACTCCGTTTAATGGGCCAGGTACCGACCCTTATAGATATAGTTGTATGATTAAAATTCACCATTTTGTTCCTGATGCAGCAGGCCCAGCCCGTGCTTTCCTGTGGATTTGATTTATTGATTGATGACCTGATTGTAAATAAGTTTTTTTCCATTTTTTAAAAATAATAATTGTATTTGACTTCATCCAACCCAACTATGAAATAAAATCCACATTTTCTCAACTCAAATTGAAGACACTTGTGTTTGTATTGCTGCCCCTCTTTCTTCATTTAGCTTGAAATGGATTAAAGGAAAATGTATTTTAAACCCAATGACTTCAGTACTTTTCTTTTATTCATTGATTAATTTTGTTGATTAACTTAGTTTGAACTTTTAATTTCTCTTTTCAATTTGATCAAATTCAAGCATTGAAACAATGAAAAAGAAACTTTTTTAAATGTAAAATTAATTCATTCTGTATTTTGTTCGGAGAAAGGTCATATACATGGTGTGATTAGAAAATTTGCAGTGAAATTATTGGTTGCTGATTTTCAAGAATAAAAAGGAACATTGTTTTCATTTGCAAATTCTATGTACATATATATAAATATATATATATTGTTCGCAGGGGCGAAGGCAGAAATTTTTTTTCGGGGGACAAAATACTAAAATTTTCAAAGTTCAGGGGAGGTTAGATAATTTTTCATATACTAATTGGTAAGATTTTCAAATTTCAGGGGCTCCACCACTGATTGTTCGTGTATTTCTCAAAAGGAAATGGAGAGGAGACCGAGAGGAAGATGATGAAAAACAGAACACATAAAATGGAGAGAAGTATATACTTCAACTCATTTTAGTTTATGCTCTGTTCTTCATCTTCCTCTCGATCTGCCCTCTCTTCATTTCTTTGTGAAAAAAAAAAAAACATATATATATTAAAAAAATAATTTTCAAGACTGTCTGACAGTCCTAACACCATCATAGTCGTCCATCATATGAGTCCCTAAATGAGATTCACATGATGAACGGCTGTGATAATGTCAGAATTGTCAAGTAATTTTGAAAAAC